GCTTTCCGCGCCATCCCTCCAAGCGGAGCGGGTGGATTCGTTGACTTGTTTTCCGTCCGAACTTTCTGGCCAACTTGGGCCCGCCGGGGCCTCTCGCCTGGCGGTGCAGAGCCAGCAGGGGCGTTCTCCTCTTGTCTCCCCAAGACTTTGACCAAGTCTCTGGGGGATTGCTGGTGCCCAGAGGTGGCCCCGAGAGCAGGCGCTCGGTCACCTCCAGGGACGGCGGGCTTCAGATGCACGTGTACAAACAGAGTCCCAGGGCAAGAACGCTCCTGCGCAGTCACTTCTTTCCCCTGTGGTGTTTGAGGAGCTTCCTAAACAAGGACCTTTATCCAGAAATCCACAGCCTCTCCTTTCTCCCAGCGTCCCAGGGCCAGGTCTTTCTTGGAGACGACCTTCTGAATGGTGCTACAATGCCGATTGAGCACCAGCAGAGGTACACATGTCTCAGGGAGAAAGACCTATGGCAGCAGGTGGATGCCAGGTGTCCCCACGGACACACGTTGGCCTATGGAAGGGACAATCACCAGCCAAGCCCTTCGAACCACCTGGATGCACCGATTGTCTCCCTGGGCCCTCCCTGGTGAGCTTATTGGTTAGAGACAGAAGGGAAGGTTAAAGCCTGACTGAAAGAACATTGTATTTACCCAAACACTGCATCTTCCCCCCAAACCTAATATCTCTCAAGCATCTTTAGGGGTCAACATTTAATGGCAAAAAAGGACTGGAGAGCACAGAACAGTTCGGATGTTGTTTCGGTGACGGAGCTGAAAAGTGGGGAAGGTGGGGGTGGGGTAAGAGAGGGACAGTCTGTGGGGGCTGCAGTGACGCCTGCCTGCAGGGCTCTGAGCAGGAGAAGGACGATCAGGGGACACAGAGAACACACCCCAGCACTGTGATCAGGGCATGGGTGTGCAGTGTGGGGTGTGCAGTGTGCAGTGTTGGGTTTGCAGTGGGGATTGTGCAGTGTGGGGTTTGCAGTGAGGGGTGTGCAGTGTGGGGTTTGCAGTGTGGGGTGTGCAGTGAGGGGAGTGCAGTGTGGGTGTGCAGTGAGGGGAGTGCAGTGTGGGTGTGCAGTGAGGGGAGTGCAGTGCAGGGTATGCAGTGTGGGCTCTGCAGTGTAGGAGTGCAGTGTAGGACTGCAGTGTAGGTGTGCAGTGTGGGGTGTACAGTGAGAGGAATGCAGTGCTGGGAGTGCAGTGCGGGGTGTGCAGTTGGGGTGTACAGTCTGGGGTATGCAGTGTGGGGTGTGCAGGGGGTGGCCTCCAGGGAGGGGGAAGGAGAACGGAGAGAGACGGGCAGGAAGACAAGCTGAGGGAACTCGAGGTTCTGCATCCTGGTCATTCAGCACTGGTAGCTGAGCCAAGTCCACTTGAG